ATGATGTATGAACTTGAACTTTCTGACTTAACAAGCTTGGCTCTTTGGTGTTGCCAGGAAATGTTTATTTTTTGCTGGGTTACAGCTCCACGGACTGGAAAAAGCAGAGGTGCACCGTCCAGGGCAGCGGGAGAGGGGCCACCTGCTAAGGCCCCAATGAGGACTGGCATGTGGCTGGCTGAATGCAGCAAAATCACCGCCACCTACACTCAGCCTTCTGGGCAAAGGGTCYGCATGGGGCTGGATGTCTCATAACCCCTCCCCAGCTCCCACCTCCAAAATATAGGCAATGGGAGTTATTCGTTATGTGACCTTTCTAGGTCCCCCCAAAAAAGCACATGCTGYCCCACAAGACAGGGAAACATGCTCCACGTCTTAGAAAGTTTTCCATAGCTTTACTATCCAAAGGATGAAGCTTGAGGGCAGGGCCGCTGACGTCACCACTGTTTTACCCCAGGGGAACTGGCACCAGGTGACCTGATGAAGGGAGGAGATGGCCAGGAGGCCCACCCACRTCGGCCTGATTCCAAAACCCTCACCAGCGACATCGCCAACATCTCCTCTCGTCTGCGGGATTCAGAACTGGCCTGGGAATCAGGATTGGAACCAAACTTTCAGTTGGTTGCCCAGTCTGGGTTACTGGTCCCACCCTCAGAGGGCTATAGTAAAGAGTAAATGTCAGAATGCCTGCTTTTGGTCATGGTATATTTTAAATTTGTAAATTTTAAGTCATTACTCTTGTTTTTGAAGAAGTAAGTGCAAAAACGGGCTGTTGGCATTTGCTGAAGGCTAACTGTTGAAACATACTTCATTACGGGTTTCTTCGCAGGCAAAGTCTAGACAGACACAGCTGTGCCAAATGGCTGTTGGGTGTTGTTTTGAATTTTGTCACTTCAGATCACTAATAACCCACTTACACACTAAGTAGGCACTTATTCACATACAGAACAATTCCTTATGCAATGCTCAACCTGCCATCTGGTCCCATCCTGAATTATGCTAATTAGAAAGCACAGAGCTATGCAGTGGCAGAGGGGTCTGGAAAAGTCCCAGCAATTGCTTCAAGGTAGGGAAACCACATCCTGGGGCCCGCTGAGAGAGCAAAGCCCCCACCGGGAAGAAGCAGCATGCTCTCTCTTTGTCCAAGGGAGGAGTCGGCCTCCACTGACCAGTATATTTTATTGAACAGTAAAATGCCCTTCTTGAAGTCTTCCTTTGGCTGTGCCTCACTCTCTCCAAATCATGAGAGTTGTATATACACAGAGAAACCACATGGCCCAGGCTTCTTACGGGCATCCTGATTCCAAACCCCAACTTTTTATTTGAAAAATGTGTTCTGCCATTTTAGGTATGGGCCAACATGTTTTGAAGATAAACAAGGAAAAGGTTTCTGATATTCTAAGAGAGGCAGAAAGAAATCACAGGGATATACTTTGGCTTTGGGTAGAAAGTCAGTCCACACATGGGTCTATAAACTTGCTGCTGACTCTAAATGTGTGGGTGGGGCTGGGACTATGATTCCCATAGAGCAGGTGTGAGAGGGCACTTCTCTGCTAAAGGTGCCACCACACACTCGGTGTCTGCGAGCATGCACAATGACAAAGACAGACTGGGAGGACACAAGATACAAAGAGCATTTCTTTCTGGAGACCTAAAATATTAGAGAATAATTGAAGCCTTGCAGGTCAAGCAGTGGTCTCTCGACAGCTCAACTCTACCATTTTACCACAATCAGGGGCATAGACAATACGTTATAAAACAAAAATGGACATGACTATGTCACAGTAAGACTTTATTTACAAAAACAGGCAGAGGCTCAGATTTAACCCATTGGCTGTAAGTAGCTTGCTGACCCGGGATCAAAGGACTCACAATGTTATTTTTTATCACGGCCATTTGAAGGGAACAGTAAAGCCTGTGTCTACTTCTCAAGGACAGCATTAAGAGATACAAAACAGAAATAGCCCCTGCCTTCCTTTCAGTTTCAACGTCAGCTTGTATTTGCTGAATTCCATATTTGCTGTCACCCTGTACATTACAATACACCTTACCTTTGTTTTCTGATTTAATTCATTCCTTCCCACTACACTTTGAGGTATGTTCCTTTTTTTGGAGACCAACTCTCAAGGAAATTCTAGCCCAAAGTCACACAGCTGGTGTGACAGAGCAGAATCCAACCCCTCCTGCTCCTTCTAGAATAACAACAAGCTGCCCTATGGCAGAGGACACCCATCTCTTTCCGTTGCTGGGATCCCCTGAAATAAAAGCCAGAAAGAACTGGCTTAATTTTTTACCATCCATTTCCAGATCTATTGCCCTTTTCTTTCCTTCTTTCTTTTTTTTTAAGAGAGAGAGAGAGAGAGAATTTTTTAATATTTATTTTTTAGTTCTCGGCGGACACAACATCTTTGTTGGTATGTGGTGCTGAGGATCGAACCCGGGCCGCACGCATGCCAGGCGRGCGCGCTACCGCTTGAGCCACATCCCCAGCCCTCTATTGCCCTTTTCTATTTTCTAAGCTCAGCCCGAACTCCAGTTTTTCAGATCAGAAATACCCACCTCTCGTGGCAGAATTTTCACCTACTATTTTGTATTCTTTCCAGGGAGAGAACATAGATGAGAGGGTATAGTTGGACATAATTGAACTTGCTTGTGAGTCACCAGCCCTTACTGGGAATCACAGACCTGCAGAATTGTCCCCAGAGGAGCAGCACCTGGGCCTCGCCTATGTGGGGTGGTGCACTTTAAGATCAAGATGTCTGACTGTGTGGTTTGGAAACGCATCTGTGTTTACAATTAATAGTAATAGTTACACAATTTAAATTGTAATAGTTACACAATTTAAATTGTGTAAGAAAGCAATGTCTCAGAAAATAGAGCAGAAGCTCTTTGGCAGGTGCATCAAGCAAGGGGACTGACAGATACTACATGTTGAGAGAGAAGGTGCTCCTGGGAAGCAGAGCTGAGGCCAGAACCCAGGTCCCCTGACTCCCAGCCCAGAGGAGACAGTGTGGCACTGTAAAGAACATGCATCTTGGATTCAAGGCTCCATGTCGAAAGCCTAATGTCATCTGCTTGTTGCTAGACCATGTCCTGCACAAACCTCCCACACTGTCAGTGTGAGGGAAACAAAACAGGCTGGGCAGGAAGGGATGGGGTTGCAGGTACTAGGAACACCCACAGTTTCCAGCCCAGCTTTTCCTAGAATCTCTCTCTCTAAGATTCTTTGGAATCTTAGAGGGTGCGGGATGTCCAGCTGTTATTACTGGGAGGCCACTGGCATTAGGAGGGTCCCCAAGGTGCTGGTGCTCTTGGAGTGTGAGTTCCAGAAGCTGAAGGGATAAACCTGTTTCACTCCTGTTCACTATCTCCAATCTCAGGCCCAACCTTGTCTCGTTTTATGAAAGGTGCAGAAGCCAAGTGACTAGGGGCTACCACACATCTGGACGGAAATTATTTTAATGACCAAATGGTGCCCGGATTCCTCCGAGCTCCAATCGCCATCATCTTGCCAGGCCTTATTGCCCCCTCTGGCCCCTCTATGGCTCCACCACAGATCAGAGCAGCCTGATGAGCCAGGGCAGCAGGTGGCAAAGTTGGCAAGAGAAGCAGGTGACCGCCTCTTAYTGGAAAAGGACTCTGATTGTCACATGAACCCAGCTTCCTAAGCTTCAGTGCCTTCCCCCTCCTGGCTTGGCAGAGACTTTTGGCCTCTCCTGCATGCAAATCCCCGGAAGGTATTCTGCATACAGTAGACAACTGGGAACGTGAGAAGAGATTCAGATGTCAGTCAAATTACCATGTGAAAATCAAGGGGAAAGCCCTCCAATCGATCAGTTCCAGGTGCATGAGTTAAAACTGGTCCAATCTTTTTAATTAGATAATTTTTCTGAAATTCAAAAGAGAGGGAAATAAGTGCAATGCCTCACCCAATACAGGTTGCATGTTACTCATCACGGCTGTGCTCTGGAGAAGCCACCTGTCCCTGTGGACTCAGGGTTAACTAGCTTTCCCAGGTGGGTTCTGAGGCACACCTGCAGGGGTGGTTATTGCAAAGGCTCAGACTGGCTATAACTGATAGCCATATCTCACAAATTGCTCTTGAAGACAGCAGTCAGTTTGCTGGGCTCCCAGAGGCACTATGAAAACTAGCTTAAAACCAGAGTCGCTGCTCCTTGACCCTTTGTGAGCTGCACAGGAACCAGCTTGCAGGCCCTGAGTGACAGGAMATGTCTTTCAAGAAACTACTATGTGCCAGATATCACACTGGATATTTTCACATACATTGTCCCAAACCTTGAAACATCTCTGAAAGGTAAATGTTACTATTTTCATCTGACCAACAAGAAAGMCATGACTGCTGAAGTAACTTGTCCTTGGTCATTAAAGCAGAAAAAGATCAAGCTAAAACTTGCTTTTGTCCTGTACCTCCTTCCCTTGGGTGTGGAGAGTGAACTGGTTCATAAAATAAACCATCCCTGTTGATAAACCTATGGGAGAAACATCCGGGAATATGTGCGTTGTTAGCAGGACCAGGCACATGTAGGTCCTCCRCACCCCCTTATGAACCTATTGTGGCATTTGAGGGTCTGGGAAGATAGACAAAATGAGCCATGGTAGAGAAGATGAGAGAAAGGTCCTCAATACCCTGCACAGCACTCCAGGTCCATTTCCAGATAAATACAAGTATGGTTGGCATAAGGAGATACTCAGTATGTGTGCATATGTATGTGTGTGTATATATATGTTAAATATTGTGTCTTTAAACAGAAGCACACATAAATTAATATTATACCTTGATCAGTTAACAAAAACATTGTGACTCAATACTTTCAGGAACCTAGCCCTGTATTTTATATTGCACTGAGGAGCACTGATTCAGTATTCACTAATTCAGAATTTGCACAACCTCCTAGAACATAACTACCATGAATAATGACAGCCACCTGTATTTTGCTACAGCAGCCCTTAGGACCCAAAAGGAGCCCTTTCCTGCTTACCTAGAACCTTGCAGGCCTCTTGGATGAGCTTAATGGTGATGATGTCATCATACACTGTRTAGGTCATGAAGGCATCTTGAACTTCTGCAGAAGCTCTGGAAGGCAAATCAAGGTGCCATGAACACCCAGCAATGGAGTTTAATTCAGGAATGTATATATTGACTCAGCAAGACATGGTACAGCCACACACTCCTAATCGTAAGGCACGTGAGGCACTGAAGTTCATGTGTGTCCCTACAAGACTTCCCTGAACACCAGTATGGACCAACAGTCTAGGGGACCTTGTGCCCAGAATTGAGAATCAATGGATTAGAAGTTCTCTGAATTTTCCTCCAACTGTAAGATTCCTAGTTTCGGTCCAGTGGTTTCYAAGCATTATTAGATGTAGCTATTCAGAAGAGCCAGGTGGGAACCCTGGGACAGACAAGGAGTGCCATAAACTATCACTCCATTAAGTGGGGTACTCTCTGTCGTATTGGGACAGGAAACTTCTACTGGCTCCCCACRGGCCTGTAGTCCTTTGTGAAACAAAACAGACAAAAACTTGTGCCCTCCTTTGGTGCCTATGAATAAAATAAAGACACAATGGGCAAGACCCCAGCTTAAGGAGTCACCTTACCTGTCCTGGCAGTGGTTCTGAGTATCTGTGGATGGAGCCCTCGAACATCCAGCCTAGCACCATCTGYCCCTGGTATCCTCAACCTGCAACTAGACCCTGACCTCCAAAGAAAGTCTTCTAAGGAAAGTCTGCATGATTCCCKTGGGGACCACCTGGTCCCAGAGGACCACCTTGCCCTGGAGGTGGGGAGGAGGGGTGGAAGGTAGAGGGAGATCAGGGCTGAGGTTCTATCACAACAGCTACCAGGTGAGAACACCTCCACAAGACACTGCTGAGAACAAATAAGTTGTCTACTCTATCAATAAAAATAAAATACAATACACACAATTTCCATCCAGTCATGCTAAAGGAATTATTATTATCTTTACAGAAAATGACATAAAATCATTGCCATATGAACAGGAAATTAAATGGAGCCAAAGATACAAAGTAACATTACCAAAGTGAGTCAGTTGGTTAATGACAGTAACAATAAAAACATTCTCTTTGAGCTTTTAGTGTTTCTGTTATCTGTCAGCTTTAATTTTTTCCTTCCTTCTAATAAATACAAACTCATTTTTTGWAGCTAAATTCCTATTTATAATTTTTTTCAATACTGGGGATTGAACCCATGGCCTCACACATGTTAGGCTAATGCTCTACCGCTGAGCTACATCCCCARCCCCATTTTATATTTTGTGGGGAAGGTGGGTACTAGGGATTAAACTCAGAGGAMCTTTAGCACTGAGCCACATCCCAGGCTCTTTTTACTTTTTATTTTGAGACAGGGTCTCTCTAARTTGCTTAGGACCTTGCTAAATTATGTAATCCTCCTGCCTCAGCCTCCCTAGCCACCGGTATTACAGTCACTTGCCATAGTGCCCGGCTCTGTTTTATAGGATTTTTAAAGAAAGATACCTAAAGGATATAAACTTTAGACCTCAAAATATCTACTTCCATTCTTACATATCTTCCATACAATCTCACTAAACAAAAAKATTTCTCGAACTTTACCTTTGAGGATTTTTTATTAGAGAAAAAGTTTCTACTTTATGTATGTAATATTATAAAATGAACTGTATTTTTTAAATGTCATATATTCTTGGAAGCTTCCATATGATCTTTTGGAGGTTGAGTCCTGCAGTTGAAATACTCTGGCCAAATGGATTCTTGAGGGCCCTCTGATGGCCCAGAGTTTGAGGCAGGTCGGTGAAACCAGCAAACCCGTTTATGGCCAGGAATGAAGCAGGAGTGGAAGGCCAGGGGACATTCTCAGATACAAGTAAAAAAATAATAGCTCTTTGCTTCCATCCACTTTTAAACTAGACTTTATTTGGAGGAAAACTAGGAGACGTGAAGGAAAGGGAAACTTGCGGTATCAAAGAAAGGGGTAACCATTTGTTTCAAATGTATGATATGTCAAGATCTTTGTATGCATGCTGCCCGGGTTCGATCCTCAGCACCACATACAAACAAAGATGTTGTGTCCGCCGAKAACTAAAAAATAAATATTAAAATTCTCTCTCTCTCTCTCTCTCCTCTCTCTTTCTTAAAAAAAAAAAAAAAAGATCGTTGTATTGTCATGAGCAACTAATAAAAAAAAAGAGAGAAAGGAGTAAGAAATTTGGTGAGTCCACAGGATGAAGAAGGGGGAAAATGGTGAATGGGAGCTGTTTCGATTTGTTCTGGCTCATCTCATTTCTCAATATAGAAATTCTCCTTGACTTATTGTGGGATTGCTTCCCAACACACCTACTGTTAAACAAAAATATTGTTAAATCAAAAATGCACATAATGTATCCAACCCACCAACATTATTGCTTAACCTAGCCTACCTTAAGTGCCCAGAACACTTAAATCACCCTACAGTTGAGTAAAATCTTCTAACACAAAGCCCATTTTGTAATAAAGTGCTGAATATCTCTTGAAATTTACTGAATACTGTACACCGTAGAGTCCAGTATTGGTTGTCCACCCTTAGAATCAAGGGGCTGACTGGGGCCTGCTGCTTCCTGCTACTGCCCCACATGGTGAGAGATTATCACACCCAATGTTGCTTGCCTGGGAAAAGATCCAAATTCAACATGTGAAGTCCAATTTCTACTGGACACATATTGCTTTTGTACCGCTATAAAGTTGAAAAGTCCTAGGTCAAACCATCATAATCTGGGGACCAACTGTACTTGAAAGGATGCCTTTCAGAATGTCAATTTCTTTTTCAGAGAAAGTGAAAAAGCGAATAAGCAGATAAACAAAATAGCACTTCCTATTTAGCAAAAAAATAAAAAATAAAAAATCCTATGCATGCAYAAGTAAGGGTCCTTGAATTTTTTAGCTTGTAGAGCTCTTAGGGATGCTGATGAATACTATGAATCTTCTCCCCAGAAAATACATGTTCACAACATTTTCATACATGATTTCAGAAAATGCTCAGGCCCTCTCAGACCTATCCATGAATCTCTGTGAAGACCCCCTGACACAGGGAGAACTSAGTAACCATTCGCCTCTCTCCTACATCAACTGGTTTAGGCTCAGCACTCATCCAGCCAGCTCCCTTTCATTCATTCACCTCCATTCATACACATCCGAATCCCCCAACTATTTACCCCTTCTCCGTGCATCGGTTTCTACAGTGGGGAACACACGCCAACCCTGATGTTGTACCCATAACCCCTTCTTGTCCTACAAAGGACACCTGACCACGGCCCCCTWTCAAACCCTCTGTCTCAGGCATCTGGATGGAGACACTCAGAAAGTGAGCAGGTCAGATGATGGTGAGCTCTTGAATCAAAAGGACATGTAGAAAATTTTGGAAGAAACAGAAATGAAGAGGCTTGCAAAGAGAACCAGGAAAATAGAGTAAACATGAAGAACGATGCGGAGACACAGGGCTCACTGGCCTTCCATTTCCTCTCAAGTTGCTGGGTATCTCCTGCTCCTAGGCTCTGAGATTCCTTAGAACCCTTACACTCAGCTTTTATACTTTGGTTTATATGGTGACTGCTTATCCTTACAAGCAAGATCCTGGATCAGGTTCTACTACCAAAGTGCCAGGAGTGATAACCTTCTCATCTCTTAGCCACCCCAGGCCTCACAAGTGGACGAGGTGAAGGCCATGATTATCTACATTTACAAGGGAGGCCAGAGACCTCAGCAAACCAATGCAATTATAATGACATATCAACTCCTTCCCATCTTCCACAAGTGTAGCTATTCTGGTCCCCAACAACTTTTCCACTTTCATTTTCTATCAGACGTTTTCATCTCTGATACACCACGCACACTGGATAATTTTCTGGGCCTCCAATTCACCAATCTCAGTCTTACCTAGGTCCTTTGCACTGGACTGCTCTCTCTGCCTGGAACACACATACTTCCCTGACTCAAGGTGGCCTCCTTCCTTCCCTTTAGTTCAACATAACCTTTGCAAAAAGACATGTTCTGACCACTTCCAGGAAACCAGCATCTTCTGTCCTAAGTCACTATCAAATCATGCATATTTGAATAGCACTTGGCACAATCTGAAAGGCTTTTGTTTATCTGCCTATTCGCTTTTTCACTTTCTGTCCCCCACATTGAAATACATTTCCAGAGAACTTCCCTCATCTGTTTCCTTCATTTCTATCCCCACACACTGGCACTCTGCTTACAAGAAGCTAAAAACGCATTGATTGAATCAATGAGCTTACGTAAGTCAAATAGCTAGTAACTGATGATCCAGGTGAAATGTAAAGGTTTATTGGATTCCAAAGACCTTGCTCTTTCCAATCTATTAGGTGCTTCTCGTGGTTAAGTTTTGATAAAGATTTTAGCCAGGAGACTATAAAAGAGTGGTTCCTGATTAGAAATCTATAATCTAGACTCTATGAGAGGGAAATCAACAATGTGGGCAAAGGACAAGAAACATCTGTTTCTGATTGTTTCATATAAAATAAAATCTATGTCATAAGGTCTGGAGACATAGTTCATTTGACTTAATCATTTCTTCTTCAAATTTGTGTAGGAATTGATGGGTTTTCCTTTTTAGCAAAAATTCTAGTTTAAAAGCACTAGGGAGCTTGTTATTTGAATGTAGCCTGAAGCAAATCCTGCTGCACAGCAAATAATCTTGCCTTAATTTGTGTTTTATAAGTTGAGTTTTCTGTACTCTACTTTTTTTTTAAGAATGAGTTCTAATATGCAATTATTATAGCTAGTTGGACTTTAAGATAGACTTGACTTTTGGCTTAAAGATGCCTTTCCAATTCCATCTCATAGGTGTCTAGTGTTAAGATATGGACAGACACTCTGAGACTCAATTCAATAGATACTTCAAAATTAAAGCGATAAAAGCTAGCCACACAGACTCAGGACATGGCCCTGCTGGGTCCTCTGCTTCCAGTCATGGTTCTCTGATTCCCTGCAAGCTTGCACCCTTGTTCAAATGCCCTTGGTCACCTTGGAGTTCTTGGGGACTCCAGGTTTCCATCTCTAAGGGTGGGAAGAGATAGTATTCCATCCTTTCAGGAGTCCACATCCAGGATCCAAAAAGGAAAAAGTGACTTTACCCAAATCACACGTGGGAACCTGGGCTTGGAACAGTAAGCTGAATTCCTCAACCATTTGGGGTTCTGGTACCTGGTCACACTCCACCTGCTTGATAATGCAGGTCGGGGCGAGAGACCTTCCTCAAATTGCTCATCTCAGCTACTGGCCATAGGCAAGCTGAACACGCTGCTGTTCTATTGGTTCCAAGTATTTGCCTATTTCTGGCTATTTCCAGAGCCAGCCTTTGCCTTCCTCCCAGGCAGGACTAACTCCTGACCAGTGGCAGCTAAGCTGAGATTAAAAGTCTTAACCAGGAAATCAGACGGTACAAGGTCCATGGATCAAAAATCAGCAAACAAAAACAACCTCCCCACCCAGAGGTTCGGAAGGTCCCTCTAGGAGGGTGACCCACATTGGGCATCAGAAAGGTCAGTCTGAAAAGAGGAGCAGAGACAAAGCCACCCTCAATACATAAGGCTGACCTCAGGAAGCCAGGTCTCCCTGGGCACGGAGGAAGGAAGACTTTGAGAAACATCTGCTTCCTCAGGATGGAAGGCAGTTATATCTGCCCAGAAGAAAAATCAAGTATAGCCGAGTCTTGATGTTGCAGCTATGTACTGGAGGAGGGGGAGAATGATGCTTATTGACTTCCTACGAGGTTCTTTGGTGTAGATTGTTCCACTCAATCCTCCCCTTAGCCCTAGGAGATAGGGGCATTATTCCCCTTTTATCCACGAGAGTCAGAGCTGCCGAGAGGGGAAGCAACATTCTCGGTTCTTGTGCAGCAGAGCCGGGCCCAAATCCATCCAGTGGGATGCACGTCCTGTTGACCCTCCACTTCTCCCCAACCCCCCGTCAAGAACCCACATCGTGAAAATAAGCCAACAGCAAACATCAGTTTCCAAAACAGCGGCTGGCATCTGTTGAGTGCCTACTCCAGGCATTTGTGTGTGTGTGTGTGTGTGTGTGTGTGTGTGTGTGTGTCTGTCTGCTTAGTATAATTTAATTTAACACTTGTAAAATTTCTACAAGGCTAACTAGACCTAGTATTCTTTTATGATGAAACAATTGGGTCACAGAGTGGTTAAGTGCCATGCCCTGGGTCATACAGATAGGAAGAAAAGATTGTGGGCTTTGATGCCAAAGGTTGTAGCCCCAGATCCCCTGTTGAATTCAACTACAGCTTCCTAGGGACTTGCAACTATGTCCAGTGACTTCTGAGAATACAAATGTCCTATTTCCTAAAATGGTTCCCTATGCCACCCTGCAATGTCCACACCATAGCCTGCCTACACTCACCAACTCTTCTTCCTCCTCCTAAGACTGACAGCCCCTGGGTAGGGACAGCTGATCTTCCAGCAGGCAGAGGGGCACAGCTGTCCTGCTTGTGGCAGAGCAAATAATCCCATTGTTTCATCAAACGTGGGTCCTCTGTGCCCTAATTCCTAGGTTCCAGGTATCTATGTAAACTTTGTGCACATCATAAAGCCATGCAGGCTGGCCTGGGGCTGTAGGTCAGTAGTAGTGTACCTGTTTAACAAGCACGAGGCCCTGGGATTCAATCCCCAGTGCTGCCAAGAAATAGATCAAAATAAATTTTAAAAAATTAAACCATGAGGGCAGATGACTTATTTGGTTCTTGGTTCTCCCATGTTTTTTACAGCACCAGGAGCTCCATAAGTATATGTTTAATAAGATGCTCCTATTAATTCACCCAGATACTTGATAGACATGAAGATGCATTCCGAGGCAGCTTGGCCTAACAGAGAAGAATCTGTGGTCACACACATGGGCTTGTGTCCCTGGCCTGTCACCTACTGTGAGCCTCTAGCTGGGACTCAGTCTCCTTCTTAGCAAAACAAAACAGTAATTTGCCTTGCAGTGTCCTTGCTGAAAGTGCTTAATAGAAGAACCCTGTTCTTTTCCTTCCTCTCTTCTCACTGCGTTTCCCTTTACATATAATGGCTATAATAAAAGACCCCAAGTCTGCAGATACATCTCTCCTCAAGGCTGCTTAGGGGGTGGAGAAGGAGCCCTTGAAGATACTGCCATCTCACCCTGGCCCTGTGGCCCTCTGGCTGTGCAGTCTTGGCCATCTCACTTTAACTTCCCTAGGCCTGTTTTCTCACCTATAAAATGAAGATTTGGGCTAAACAATCTCCCAGGGGCCCACCAGCCCAAGGTCTCTTTAATCATAATTATTCAGTGATATATTCAGAAATGAGTATTTCTTGCCTCGGGGACACCAGAAGTTCTTTTTTCTCATCCAAACATGTAGAGATCTGAGTAAACTGTCCTGGAGAAGCTGAGGAAATGGCCCTGGACTTTAACACAAGGGGGTCAGGACTCTGCAGTACTTCATGGGCACAGGGCTGCTGGCTGACCTGGCTCTGCCTCAGGGTAGCCACAGAGTTCTAGGAGGATCACTGCAGTCTCAGTTCTATTTTATTTGAAACATAGGGGGAAAGAGGGAAATTTTGCATTAAGCATATTAAGTTTTTATTTTACAAAAGCAAAGTTGAGAAAATAGGAAAAATTGAAAAGGGGAAAAAAATCAGCATTTCATCATTCTATCCCTATTAGTTATTATTTTGGCCTTTCTCTTAGTTTTGTCTTTTTGTTTCATTTGTGTGAGCTGCCACCACATACAGCGATTCGTATTTCTTTAGTCATTCCATTTGTTCTTTGGTCTGTTTTGCACCACGGAAGACAGTTTTTGTTTTATTATTTAGAAATGCAAGACTCCCTTATATCTTTTTGCATGTGTGTGTGTGTGTGTGTGTGTGTGTGTGTGTGTGTTTCCAAGAGAACAGATTCTCAAGAATGGACTTACTACTTCCAAGGAGTTGATAATTTTCGTAGTTTTTAGTTGTCTAACTGCTTTCTAAAAGGGCTGCCCTGATTGACAATACCATCAGCAATTACCCATTTTTGTTGCAACTTAACCAGAATTAGTCATTATCATTTAAATTTTTGGAGATTTACTAGGCAAAGTGGCACCTAATTGCTTTGATTTGCATGTCACTGATTAACTGAGGAAGCCAATCATCTTTCCATATTTTTATATTCTCCTCTCTTCATAGGGCCAGGGAGGTTCTTAGAACTCTTTCAATCCCAACTTATAATATTTTAAGGCTGAAAGATTCCAAAGAGCAGCCAGAGAGCCCAAGGATACAGGAATCATATAGGGAACTATTTGGAGATGTCAATGACAGTATCAAGAAGTTACCAGGCTGGGAAGAAAGATCAAGAATTAACTAAAGAATATCTAAAAGTAGGATTCTGGCCAAACTGAGAAGAGATGCCCCTCTTCTGACCAGCAGCTGCTGTCCTGTGCAGTAGAAATGGTATAAGTGATTTCTCTCAAGGGACCAAAAACAGCAAATGAGAGTTCACTCATGAGCTAAAAAGGAGAATGACGTTGGCATTATTTACACTGGGGCTCTGTCTTAAGGTTGATTTTAGGAATAGAGATTGACAGTATCCTTAAGCACAGGTATGATTTATTAAGTTTTTTCAAGTTAGTCTGTTTAAAGCACTTGAATTCATCTCCCTAGTAACTGAACCTCTTGGAGAGTTCTAATGATAATATTGTAATGAATCTTACTCAACTAACTGGCTTAATCAAGAGTAAAGAGTTGTAACTGTCAAAACCCTGTGGCTCCAGGGATGCTTCATCTTTCCTTTAATATACTTACTTCAATTTTTCCCACGTCTCTTCACCAAATTTCTCTATCACGAGAGATTGCAGACAAGTGTTGATAAATCCATACTAGAACACAAAGCAAGCACAAAGAAATCTGTAAGCACGAAGCATGACATCGGCAGTCGTAGACATCTAAGTGGCATCTTTGTGGCAGTGGAATCCTACAGCAAACCCGTTATACCTCTTCCTTGTTTCTCTTGACTTTATTTGCTCAATAGCTGTGCTCATTCCCAACTCAGGGACACCCTTGCAGCCTTCAACTAGTGTTATTTCCAAGGAGAAAACATTTGAGCTAAATTTCCAACAGATTATTATTACAGGAGGTTGAAGAAGGTGCTATGGCTCATTGCAATCCTCTTTGGAACCKGGAATTGGTTGGTTATACCAAATCTTTCTCTTATAAAGAAGACTTGCCACATCCCAGTCCTGCTTCCTGGGCCTGCCATCTGTTGGCTGGGGAATGGGGCTCCATATTGTAATACAGCCTCAGGGAGCCCAGGGAAGGTATGCAGCTTAGAGGAAAGGGCTTGGGCTCTGGAGACAAATGGGTTTCTGTCTCTGTGCCTGACAGCAGTGTGTCTTTGGGTAAATTGCCTAGCCTCTCTGGGCCCAGTCTTCTCAGGAGCTAAACTGGAAATAATAGCACTTGTTCTATTGGAAGAATATTGTAGGGTTATATAGGAATGGGTCCGGATTTAGACAAGGAGGACTGATTGCTAACCCCAAGCCTTATTCTCTGTTTGACTCTGGCCCTTCACCAAATCTCACTCATTTTCAGTTATTTCATCTGGAAAACGGCTATGAGGATGATCCTGTCCTCTTAGGGTCAAATGACAACATTGGTGTGAGCACATGGCACATGGTAAGTGACCAAAAGCTTATAACCATGCCTTTAGAGAATATGCATCTCGAATAACAAGTGCTAACACGCGGAAGCTGGGAGGAGTCCAAAGGAAGGATGCAGAGAACCGCTTACCATGTTGCCGCTGGCTTGTCTGCAGGCAAGCAGAGATCACAGCAGAGCCCCAAGCTCCCAACCTGGTAGTTCAGTGGATTGGCACATCCAGCAGCCCGTCTTATAGCAGTCTAGATAGTCCACAGGGAAATCAGGATGTGCTCACTGGCCTCCAAGCAAGGAGCAAACACCAAGCTGAACACTCAGTCGCCCAGGGAGTAAAAAGTAAGGTTGCCCCTGCCCAGGAGTGAGTGGCACCCCAAGGGGTGCACCTCTCATATGTCTACTCTTGGGAGATCAGGCTGAAGCCTGAAGCACCTCCCTGTGGTGCCAACAAACCAAGGCCTCATCGTGCCAGCCCAGAGCTGCTGCCCTGTGCGGCAGAGATCCACAGAGCACTGGGAGATGGGTCCTGCCAGTGTGCTTCCTGGGTGGGGAGACAGGCAGCTTGGAGGAAAGGAACATCCTGGTCCTTCTAGACCCTGGGGTTTTTTGGCTCCTCCCACTGAATCCATCCACAAATTCATAAACTCCCTGTGCCCCTCCCTCTCGATTCCCTACTGAGAGGTTGGCTAAAGAGGGAGGCCAGGATTCCTGAAACCTGGCAGGCTTCTGCAAAGTCACTCATCTTTCCATTGGACACATCACTGTTAGTCACCTACCTGTGTAATGTCATCAACATGAGCACCTGGGGACGAGAGGAACGAAAGGTATCGATTCTGCTCTCAGAGAACAGATCTTGAGAGCATTTCTGGGACCCTGAACTTGACTTTGGAAATTACTGCTAGACTCCTGCAGGAAGCTGCCTTTTATATGAGATTGTCTATTGAGGGGACTTTAATGGAACCACTTTGGATACCAGCCAAGAAAGGCCTGCCTGGACCAGCACTTGACCCTATAATGTTATAATGTGGAGGCCTGTGGTGCCTGAAAACCCAACTGTTCCATTTCTCCTCCAAACCCAACTGTTCCGTTTCAGGCTCTGTAGGCTGTTGCCAGAGGTCGATTTCCCAAGTATCATTTGCGGTCAGAGGTGAGAAACCCAGCCACCAACCAGGTTCCGTGAATGTTGCCTGCAGCGGTTCTAACAGACTGCCAGCTTTGGTGTAAAAACAAGAGTAAAAGTAAATAAATACCATAAAATCAAGTGGGGGTGGTAAGCTCTCCAGGCTGCAGTAGAGAGAGGGAGGGCAGGAATCTGGAGGCCACTCATGGTTAAGACAGCCAGAGACTGAGGCAATCCACTGGATGCATGTGTGGACATCAGATGCCCTTGGGGGTCCTCCAGAATCTTTATCTCAGCAGCCCAGCTTGCTGAAAGACTTCCCTTCATGGCTCTTTCCTGCTTGAACCCATCTTCTATGCTTCCCTTAGAAAGGTTTCTCCATCCATCAAGCCTAGTTGATTACAGTCCTGTCTGAACTCATTACCACCTCCTCCTCTTGGAGAGACAAGAGATGGTTAGGGCCTCTCTTGCATGTTCTCTCTCTCTCTCTCTCTCTCTCTCTCTCTCTCTCTCTCTCTTTCCTTTCTTTTGGTCCTAAGGATTGAACCCAGGTGCTTTACCACTGAGCTACGTCCCCACCCCTTTTTATTTTTACTTTATTTTGAGACAGGGTGTCTCTAAGTTGCCGAGGTTGGCCTCGAATTTGCAATCCTCCTGCCTCGGCCTCCTGATTGGCTGGGACCACAGGCGTACACAACTGCACCTGGCATAAGTCCTCCCTTCTTTCCGAAACAGGGAATTTGCTTATTCCCAGAAGCTGGACTCTCCACATGCTGTTCCTATGTGGAAGGGACATGTGGTCTGGAGCAAGAGAAAAAAAAAGTCTCTGGAATAGGTGATTTCCATAATTATGCTTCCCAAGCCTTTGCCACCATCCAGCTGACAGTCCTTCTTTTGGCCCTGCCAAGTGGGCTTGCTCTGGCTCTCTCTTACAGCCCCCAGCCCCCACCCTGCTTTTTCAAACACATACACCCACATGCTCACACTTCACAATAAGTAAATGGTTAAAAAAAAAAATCTCCCTTTTTCTTTTTCATGCAGCAGATGGCAGGTCTCAGGAACTTGGTGGAAATTAGGCTTTCTGATTTTCTAATAAATTTCAGCATCTCACACAAAAAGCACAAGCTCATTTTGATTCTGATGTTAAGTACCATATGGCACATCATCCGTGGAACGTGGCAGCTTCATACTCAGGGTAACAAGGACGGGAGGATCTCTGCTATAACAATGAGGTCTAGCATGTATGAACCAATGGGATTCCTGGGTGAATACCGTTTGATAATAATATTGTATATGGCAGCGGAGTAATTATCCCTCTTTTATGGTATGTGTTAATTTTCCCTGCCAGTTTCCCTAATTACAACTGCCACCCAAAGGACTACTTTTCGTAAATACTCTGTAAACATTTGAAAAGACATCGACAGCATATGCATGAAGAAAAGCGTCCCTGGATTTTGAAACTGTCTGGAAAATTGGCTGACGTTTTATATGTTTTTCAATGGCATAAACAGCCGGGGAGGAACTTGGACGATATGGAAATGCCCTCTCCCTTCCATGACATCACAGGCCTTCCTGCCCACCCTGTCTGGGATCATGGTTTTCAGAGACTTTTTTCACTGCTATCTTCATGAATCTTAAGTGGACAGTTCCATGAACCTTGACAAATGCAGACACCCAGGTAACTCACGCCCCAGTGAAGATACAGAACATCTCCTTCATCACAGGAAGTTTCCTGGGGCCTCTTCTCAACCAGCCCCACCACCCCAGCTCCCCACTGTCCTGATGACTGTCACCATCCATCCGCTTTGCTGGCTCTTGAACTTCATATATACTGAAGCCCACGGTGTGCTCTCTGCTGCGTCTGCATTCTTAGCTTTTAACGTATGTTTGGAGCATTGCATGCAGATATCATTTTCCAAATTACACCTGGGTGAGTCCATGCAGCCTTTTTGGATACATCTTCCACAACACGTAAAGGAGCCCCCACAAGGCAGTCTATGTACGATAGGCAAGAGGGAAAACACAAACCTCTTATCTTTCATAGGACAAGCAGGAAAGGGCAAGACACCATACGGAGGTCACTAGATAAATCTCTATCATTTAAGGAAAGAAACAAGAGGGGAAAATGCATGGTGAAGCATCAGGACAGAAAAATATCCCCTTTCCCCAGTGCGTGTGGCTTTCCTAGGACAGCAGCTGCCTTCCTCCAGGCCGGGAGCCCCTGGGAGTGGATTTGTTCCTCTTGTCTACCTCCGACTTCCTGGCTTCCTACCAGTCCTGCAGCAGCAGCAGCAGTGTCTCAGGCCTGGAGGTGGAGTCCCAGAGGCTCTTCGGATCAAAATCCACCCCCACCCCTCCCCCGCCCCAACACACAGTTTCCAAGCATCTGAAATTCTCATTCCTTTAGGCTACAGCTTTGGAAACTTCTGCCATAATAACAATATTATCTATTCCTTTGATGAATCAGACTTGCTGGTGTTCACCTAAGAAGTCAGGAGACATGGAACAGGTGAACGTTGATGTGCTCATCCCAGACACACGGACAGGGCCTGTTTCCTCATCAGGCCAAGGCATCGAGTGCTCTCTAGGAGCCAGGGACAGTGGAGGGAAAAGATGAAAAGTAGCACAACTTTACTTGTATATCACTGAGTTATGCTGATTTTCTCCCATGGAAAGGTGGTTCCAGGTGGAAATGATGTGGCTGAAGGGAGAGTGTGATCATCTGACCCAGGTGCGGTGGCTCTCACCTGTATCCCAGCTACTCTGGTGGCTGAAGCAAAGGATCCTTTGAAACCAGAATCTTAAAATCCAGCCTGGGCCACACAGGGAGACCCCGTCTCTTAAAAAAAAAAAAAAAAAAAAAAAAAGAATAGACTGATTTCTTTTAGACATATTTTCCTAGTTGGAACTTCAGACTGCACAAACGAGGGGGTGAATATCAGTAAGAAACTCCGGGGCGGGGGAGTCCAGAAGGAAGGGTAGTCTGTTCACAGTCAACACTTGCTGTACCCCACTGTGGTAAGGATAGTTCACTTTTACCAAGCTTCTGTACATGCCTGCAATGGCACCTATACTGTTTAAGGGTGAATTGCATGAAAT